CTTTTGAAGCACAGGTCGAGACTATATTCTTTCGCCTGGAACCGTTTCTAAGCACGAGTGAGGTCGGCTTCCCCTCCTTCTCTGCACTAAAAGTAAAAATGAAGCCGGCCTAGGCCGGGCAACCCAATTGCTTTTATAATAGTTTAGCAAAATTATCAGTGGTTGATCACAGCCACTTCAATCTCAGTGCTCCTCTCGCACTTCAAAATTTTTACCACCAATTTTCACCGCGCTCCTTTAAGCTGACGCTAACCATTTTCTCCGCGATCTAAAACGTTTTCAAACCAAAGTATGAATGTTTGGTCCCACTCCCGCCCACCCTTGTGCCAATTCCCCAATTGAGGGATTCGACCGTATTCCTTCAACTTCAATCACTTTCTATCACATTTCGGAATGTTGAGCAGAGATGAATTTTTGGCCTCATTCCCGCCCACCACGCGTAAGCTCCACCCACTTTGCGGACTAGATCCTTGCTTCTACTAACTCTTACCACGTTTTTCCCTGCTTTCTAGAACATTTGTGAGCAGAGATATGAGTTTTGGATCCCAGCTCTGGCGCAAAACCCGCTACGGCCACACTTCTAACCACTTCTTTCCTCGCAATCTAAAACGTTTCTGAATAGAGTTACGGATTTTGCTCTTAGCTCCGCCCTTATGGATCTTTGATCTAAGCCCAGCCCAACCTTAGTGCGCATCCCGCCCACTTCAGAGATCTGAACACACTTCTCTATTACCTCTGAACTCTTTTTCTCCGCTTTCTGGAATGATTTCAAAGCAAATTATACGTGTTTTTGAAAAGTAGCTATCATAAAACACAGACCACGCCTATCACGGGAGGAGCTTCGCCAAGTTTATGCATGCAGAGCACGCATATTGCCTCGTTCACTGCTTTCATATGTTTTCTGGTCTCCTTGCCTTCGTTAGATCTAGTTATGAACTTATGTGGAAAGTAACAAAGTACAAAAAAAGAAGAAATAAACAAACAGACAGACACACAGACGACGCGAACGCGTTATATATAGCAAAGATAGCTGCAGAAGTGGAGGTACAATCAGCAGCGAAAAAAAATGGTTGAAAGATCGCATTTTTGCTAAAAGGTAAAGGTTGGAGGAGCATGTTAGTCATGTCAACGCAATCGCACGCTGGGGACCCTGGGGTTTTTTTTAACAATTGTAAGCCCTAGACAGCCTAGACGTGAGTCTCGAAGCTAGCATCAAACGAGATCAAGCCACTATTTAACACACACTGTATGTACAATATATGTCTATTTGCAGGTCTTCCCATCCAAGGAATGGATGCGATATTACGCCATTGGTGAGTCGATTGGGTAGTAAGTAGATATTCCTGCTGAATGTTACTCTGGCGATGCTAATCATTTTAATCGAGAAGCTAAGTCAACATTAACTACCTCCGTCGTGCTTTGTGATTGGCCCTGAGAGCATGAGTAGCGATGAGACGTTTGATATGCATAGCATGCCTTGGAAAATGAACGAGAATGATTTGATCAGCTCGAAACATTTTGTGTGAAATTCCTAAAGCGTTAAACGCATATGACAGTTCCTGCTTAGTTGCATCAGTTGCTGTGCACTAATTAGACATGGTCAGACCATTTACTTCAAAAGGAAAGCAATTTTGAGACGCGATACATACATCACTGATAACATTTTGAATGAGATTTTGTAAATTCTAGTACAAAAATTATTTGCATGAACTAAATCGGGTATGCTAACGAAAAACAAATCTTGCTCGTTTCCTATGACGCTCACGACGGTGCTTGTTGAACCGGTTGCCATAAATAACAAAGTTTTGGACAGCTGCAAATGTCTCAGGAAATCTCTGAACGAACGTAGAATTGCCCACTAAACCAAGAACTCACAGCTCTTTTCAGATCGATGGCAACAGAACGCGAAGGGGGACCGGTTGTTAAAGCTACAGTACTCGTCGCGATTACAGACGTCCGAGTTATGCAAGGAGCCGCATAAAGTTTTACTGAAAACATTAGATGACTCGAAGACATAAGATTCATTTGGAAGACTTCCAGGGGAAGGTGGCGTAGCTTGGCCAACTTTCTTCCTCGTGTCTCAGATGGTAGAGGTTCAGCGGGGTGCTAGGCAGAAAATACGTCTACTGTGTATTCGGTTAAATTCCTCCGATATGTGAACCTGGTGGGCAATGCACGGAGAGGCTCACGAAGAACGAGATTACAAAATCCGCTCTTCTAATAGAAGGATGGAACGTAGTGCCAGTGATCGTCATCCGTACCTCGTCATGTTCATTGATGGGGAATCTTTTTGCTGTGCCGCCGCCATTATGGATCACAATTCCCCACTGGATACTAGTTTTTAGCAATGTTCCTCTCGTTTTTAGTCTGAATGGAACCGTATTTTTGAAACCTTGTCCCACGCATTTTCAAATGGCACCTGGCAAGCGACCATAGTTAAATATCGTTGTTGCGTTTGCAACGACTGATATGGGATTTTTAACAGTTTTAGTCTCAGCTCGATTCATCACTTGGAAACTTATGATTATCGCTATGTACTCTTGAGCCTTACTACATATATTTTGAAAGATCATGGAAGTGAGCTGGTACGATTCAGCTGACATTTTTATGAGAAATAGGAATAGCTGTAGCGATAATAGATGAACATTTTATGAACAGATATTGTGACTGAAAGTTACAGACAGCGGCAGTGACTGACAAAATATTTGGAACACATAAGCTCCTTACAATGAGAGCAACGTATGAAAAAGTATTGAACAGGAGTTTCGAATTTTCCCGGGTCTGTATACAGGTACCCTGCTGCAAACCATGAATGAGAAAGGAACTTTTTGAATATAGCCGTGCTGAACAAGAAATATACTGCCCGTAACGTCTCCATTTGTCCCTGTCACATAGTGGTCCAGTCAATTGTTCTCGCTTCGTGGACATGAGGTCCAACATTCCTTGCGTTCAGAGCTTTCGTGAGGAAGTTCTCTCGGTGGCTGTCTTGGAATTTGTTCCATTTCGCGAACAATCCAGTCAGTAATCGCCCTGGTCCAACGGTCACCACTATATCGCATAACGTGTCCTGCCTTCGATTTTCTTCGATTTCTTGGCGTAGTCAGCGAGCGCAGCTCGGAACTCCAGATTCCCTTCTGCACTTGCGTGTATAGGGAAATTCAGAACATCACCTTTCTAAAGCCCGTTAAGTAACGCTAACAGCATGCTTATCCTGCTTTTAGAGTCCAAGTCCCCGAGACGTACGTCACAGCAGGAAGGACAGCAGTGTCGAAGAGGTGAGCGCGGAACCGAATCTTTTTTCTCTTCTTCACTACTACCTCGATATTCTTGCTCCCCACGAGGTACTTTTCCTTCTACACAGCTCCCAAGCTAGGTCGTTCATCATGTTGAATTCCTGACCTAGATACACATAGCCAGAGCATTCGGAGATATTCGTCTTGTTTAGCGTGAAGGAAACATTAGGTTGCAATCCGTTTTTCATGTACATCATCTTCGTTAAATTTAGTCTCAATCCGATCTTTTCACAAGCACTGTCAAACTTGGCCATCATTGCCCGCCTGCTCGATGTTCGGTATTATAAGCACGATGTCATTTGCAAAGCGGAGGTGATGTAGATAGCGGCCATCGACTTACACTCCTAAGTCTTCTCAATCCGGATGACGCATGATATTCCGAAAGCGGCACTGAAATGTTTGGGCGAAATGGTATAGTCTTGCCGGACACCTCTCTTTACGTTGGTAATGACTTCCTTGTAAAATGGCAAAATCCCGGTCGTGAAATTGCTATAAAGCTCACGAAGCATTCCACCATTTCACATAAATCCTCAGCATGGTTGCCTCAACTCTGAAAGAAGGACAGATATACTACCAAGAAGGTATGATGCTGGTTGAACATCACGCAGCCCTGAGACTCATTGAAATGACGAGGAAGTGTAGCTTGATGGGGATCTACCTTACAATCATCAGTATGAGTGAGGTCCAGGCTCCTTCTAACAGAAAAGGCGTTGCTTTCAGTAAGTGAGGAGATTTTTTGAGCACTGCAGAACCTTCACATTGAGAAGAAGCATGAATATTATTACGTTTTCTGAGAACATTATTGTGCTTTTATTTTACTGGTAAAAATAAGAACACCAAGCATCCAACCTGAACACTAATGGACTACCGTCAACCGTGACCGGGCTGAATCCTTTCGAGCATGTTAATTTGTATGACATCATCCAGGTCGCTTGAAATAACAACGTAAATAGGAGAAATTGTAGGGAAAGCTCATCAAATCTCACAGAATCGGGCGTCCATGCACTGTTGCTGACTTAGATATGTGGTATCAACAGCCTCAACCGGAAAGCCAGGAGAAAGGCAGTCTGAACGACGAGCTATGCAAGCCATGCCGCTGCGTGCGTACCACTGCAACCATAGATATTATGATGATAGTCCTCAACCGCTTTGCCGCAATCGCAACGCCTCATTACCTCCACCTCTATCCCTCATCAGAGCTCAAAACGAAAACAAGCAGTCTGCGTACACGGAGCCGTTCTCCACCTGAGAACTCCAGCTGCCGACATGAGTGAGCTTTGTGGAAAGTTATTCGAATTTACAAGCACTACCTCGAGTGAACGCCTGTCTCCATGAGTATTGCAGTCAATTGGTGCTCTCGGAGGCGCAGAAGTGACCACAGATCCCACCAGGTGCTTCTTAGGTCCACCGATTCCAGTTATCGTGAATTTGCCGCTGACTAAAAATTGAGAAAAAATGCAGAATCGCATGCAGAGGAAGCAGATTAATCCATACGGATGTGATTTCGGGCCCATTTCACATATTTCTGCTTGTCAACAGAAGCAGCCTTCTCGTTCGTTGGCTACCGTAATTGAGAGGGAAACTCCAAGAAGTAGTCGGATACCTGGCGCTTGTCCGACGAATGCTCTGTTGTTGCAGCAAAATGCGAAATGCCGGTGCGTGTGGCAGAACTCAGATGAGCTGCACATGTCCGACACCATCCTGTCTCCATTTCTTCGACATAGTGCAGGCGAGAATATGTATGGCACCTGATCGCCCTGAAGAAGAACATTTCAAATTCGTTCAGCAATATTTCAAGCAAAGTCAAGACGATTGCGAGAATCGCAAGAACTATCGCATAGGCATTCCTGAATATGAACCAGTGCGGTGATTGCTGGACATTACTCGAGAGTAGGACTAAAATAGTCATAGAAATGGATTGAAAATTTAGGACACAAACCCTATTGTAATCCTTCCAGGAGACCTTGTTTGAGTAATGCAGCACAAAAAATTCAGCGAAGGGACTACCGCGCCTTTTAAGGTTTAGCACCCATGTATGAAAGAAAGGGCAGAGTAGAAAACCGCGGAGGCTCACGTATTTCTGTGAGTTTTACTACAACGTGGAAGACTTCGGATTAGATGTGCACATCTATACTTCTCACATCAGATACCCGATATTAGCCCAGACAGATAGCTAGATAGCTTAGACAGCGAAAGTTCAGTAGTCATCCGTTCAAGAGAGATATCTTCATGCGCCGCGTATCCCCGCGGAACACATGGTCTGGGAAAGGATAAGCTCCATCTCATGAGAACACCACCATCATACCGCCTGTTCAAAACTTTCAAAATCCTCTTCTGAAAAAGGCCCTCGCTTAATCCAAATTCGAACTCTCGTAGGTAGCCAAATTGAGCAGCCTACTATAGGAATGGTGACAGGACAAGACCTCCTGCTCGTTGTTCGGAATTTCAGATACTTCGACAAGGAGAACTTTGAACGGAATAAGATCGTTTCCTAGCATTGTGGGAGCGTTTCATAGGAATATAAGGAACTGATAGGAATCTTACCACTCCTCAGGATTTCCAAACTCTCTATGGTCTTATCTCTTTATGTCAGAATGCGGCTTGGAAGCACAGTTCACGATAAAAATGATGTCTAGGACTCCTCTATAGTATGATTACAAGGCTCCGTGTTTTACCATGCATGCCGTTATAAGGCCGTGAAACGACCTGGATTGGACACAACAAAGGGTAGAGATTGCATTGGGTGAGTGCCACACCCATAGTGGACGAGTTTCAATGGCTTTGTAGAGGCTGCATTATCTCAAGAGACTCCCACGTAGTAAGTTCAAACAACGTCATAACCCATGGCGACAGTGAAAGGTGCTTCGGACAATTTCGGATTGATGTAGTCATCCCTTGCGCAATGAGAGCAAATTAAATTTCGTCCAAACACCCCTTACATGTCGTTCCCATCACGGTGATCTCGTACAACCTCCACTTCTATCGCGGTCAGACCGCGATTCTTGCAATCCATTGTTCCCAGAGTTTCAGCATTCTCTTCTGATTAGAGATTTGTTTTGTCGGGAATGTTTCTGTATTCTGCGCTTATCAGCTAGATCTTGTGAGGCAAATGCTAATTACCGTATAAGACCGTATAAGTACGCTGGCAGTTCTTCCTCGTAGACGCTTGTGCTTTGTCGTATTTCCGCTTCCTCCTATAATCTCTTTGTATCACGTAGCTTATTAGTATTACACATATGCTCATGTTATCATACGCTCATTTATGGGGCCTTCTCTTTATCATGCCTTCTGCAAGTTACTTTGGTTCTCGACTAGAGGGATCTTCGTTTATTGTTGTTATTGCAAGTCTTCCTTCAGATTGTATGGTTCAATTACCCAAGTTTGAGGTAAAAACAAAGTTCTGTTGCGCCGTGGTTGCACTGTGGCATAAGTACGAACCACCGAAGTTGCTTTGACTTCCACTACTTTTAAAATCCTTGAGGAGGGTGGATTTTATCGCTTTCTTCGCCACCGAAGTACTCTTCTAAATCTACACCCGTTTTTCAACCTAAAAAGGGCACCCTCGAAATTGTCGTGAACTTTCCCTTCAACCCTGCTAATGAGCGCTCAACGACAAAGAGAAAAGTTCGGTTAACTGCTAGGTATATCTCCAAGCCTCCAACGTGTGCATCTGTCTGATGAGGTATGGTAAGCACATCACATCACTATGAGAACTAAGAGAATGACCGCGATCGTTGAGCAGCTGAGTAGCGAGAGTATGGAACGATACTTGCCGCTCGAGTCTAGGACAACGCCATGTGCATCGGTCCTTGATATAAAGCTAAACTACTTTCCGCTTACATTGCTACGGGTGAAAACAGCCAGCGGAAGGGAGAACGGGCATGACAGCGTGTACGTCTTCCATGTGAGTGCTGAAATAATCCAAATTAACTTCTAATCGAGTAATTGAAGAGCTCATTACTGGAAAACAACAGTCTTTGCGAACTTTTTGAGCATTTTGAACAGAGTTTAGAGAAGAGGATTTGCCTTGAGCCACGCAAACCTTCTTCACACTCGAAAATGTTTTCGCTCACTTATTCGAATATCCCTTGAAACGTATTCAGCGCCACGTACGATGCTTAGAGTATTGGGATGGAGAAGTCACGTTGAAGAAATGTTTTGGTGGGCAGGAAACTTCCTCATAGCCTCTAACACAACTAGGAAAACTTTCCAGAATTCCTGGATCATGTGTAGAGGATGATGATTTGCGGTTTTTGACTACTTTTGCACAACTCAATTTAGACATACATATATCCTAGTATTGTAAGAGCTTGTCTCGTAATAACTAGCTCGTACGTGATAATCCATCCTGAAGATCCCAACACTCGGTGTTGTTACGCGCATACTTAGATGGACTTGTGCACAACCATTGGGAAAGCATCGCTGTCTGCTCTAGCTCACTACTAATTTCCTCTTCCATACAACTAAGACATCTTCGAACAACTCCAAGAATTCCTGCTATGCCTTTTTTTTGATAGTCGGAGAGCCTGCGTACGTTGCTCATAGTATGCGTATAACTGCAACAAGTGGCTATGACCTAGTGACTTCGAGTACATGGAGATGTTACGAATGCTAATGAATACCTTGCGAAGTAGTTGACGATTACTCACATACTCCCTATGAGAAGGAATTAGTCATACAACATGACTAAAGTTGCCGGTTAGAGTGTAAAGGCATGCCCCTACAACTACATCAAGTGAGTGCATGTTGTAAGTGCAATAGAAGTTTATTGCTGAAAAGAATAGCACTAGGGAACATTGGAATTCTCGTAAATCAGTGAAAGGAAGTAATTACCGAACACGTTTAACAGATATCACGCGCCGCCTGTCTCACCTTCGACACCATTACAAATGCACCTAATGAGTTTGCTGGAGACAGGCACTTCTATTTGTCTGAACAGAAACTAAGGTCGTACCCATATGTTTTAAGGCGCACTGTTCTTCGCTATTATGAAGCTCAGCGGTGATTTTTACCGGCGTGTGGCAGTTGACTGGATAGGCAAAGCACGTGCTCTCCTCTTCGTCGTAGTACCACTGAAATATACTTTGAAGGTTATAATCGATTAAAACGTGAGTACTTCTTTCAAAACACTAGAAAAGGCTCGGTTCATAAGCCATCTATGTTACACCATTTCACTATGTGCTAAAAATTTTCTCTGGCTTCTAGGCTCCAATGAAGGTGACGAAGCCCGCTCGATCAATCGTCCGACGAACCTTTTATCAGATCCTCTTCGGTGGACCGTGAAATTTGAAAAGGGATCCGCAAACGCATAGTTTCACATAAAACAAAATAGCGAAATCAAAAAGTTCGTTCCAGTTATTCCCGAAGAATGTTGCTATCCCAAAGAGGTCAAGCTGAATTCACAGCAGTATTCCACAGGACTAAGCGACCAGCTTGGAAGATTATTAATCGGGGCATTCTGAGTTTTTTCTATGCAAAAATGCGCATATATACAAAGCCCTCAATGACTCCCCTTGTTCCTTATCTTTAACTTCGTCTTCTTTCCCCTAATTTGATGCATGAATGGTGATAGAACGTTGCTCCTCTTGGTATAGTCATGGATTGCGTCGGCGTATCAATAAGACTGTATAAGCAGTAACCTACTATTCGCTGCGGAACATGCTTTAGAGTGACAGAGTGATGATGTTGTAGTAGAATGTAGAGCGCTCAAGCGGAAGGGCTTTTGTTTCCATGCGTCTACAGATAACCTTTTTGGGCCCTATTTCCTCAGTGGGGTTCGATGACAGGCATGACCTCGTCCATAAATTGCTTTCCCTCATTTATTACCCCTTTGTTTTCTTTCCTGCAGCAACGTACCTTTTTCATAAAGAGCTGAACTTGATGGAAGACGCTTTTTTTTCAAAACCACTTTCGGCCCTGGCCCTGATGTCTCATTTCGACATGCCAACCAGTTCACATGCATCATCACGCTGACCCTTTGACTTTGAATGGGAATGATGGTGTCATGCTAACCCCCTTCGTTCCTGAACGTCATTCAATTGCTCTATTCTGTTCTTCCTCCATTTCCATATCTATGCTCACACTTTTCTTAGGCTATGGCAAGGGGCACATTCATGGTGAGCATAGGAACTGTGCGATATAATGGTAACCAGTAAGAGTGAAACGAATTAATTTGCTTTTGTGACTGGGCTGCAATACTCTGAAGTGAATGCTGAGTTTTTTCCACAGAATTCCAAAGAAGACCATCTCTGGAATCAGCAGGACCGTATAATGCAAAACTCGTTCTTCTCAGTTTTACTCCTACATCGCTTCCCGCTACCAGGTTTTTGTCACCGAAAGGTATACTAGCGTGATTGGGGATGTTTTTTGAGAAATGGCGCCGTTTTGACGTAATCCGGCGATGTTGTTGGGAGGAGTCTTCATGAAGGTTTAGGAACCTGGGCATTCCAACCTGAAGAATATTCATATGTTGATTTTTGCGTCATTAGGTGAGCTGTAACAAAAACTGAGGGGTTTTTTCTTGGCGTCATTAGTTGGTTATCAGCTTTTCTCCTATAATAACATTCATCGGGTGGGTTTTCTGAAGATCGGCGAACGATCTCATGTTGCCATTTCATTCCATCACAATGCAACGGAATCACGTGGAGCTCGAAATTGTATGAAGACATTTGACTAGAGGTAACTAACCTATTCCACGACGTGGGATTTGCAGAAAGGTAGTTATCCTACTTATAACCCCTTGTATCTGAGCCAATCTAGGCCTTCAGATGTAGGAAGCTTTGAAATACACGAGAGTCTCAGAATTTTTTGGTAGGATTCTGCATCATCCATTGCGATTCGAGAGCAACTGGCATTTGATATAGGGGATAAAAAGCTTCTTGGATACTGCGCAATTCATCTCACGTTGCTCAAGGTCTATGAAGAAGGCGATAGCGTCGAAACGTTAGACCGTCAAGCTAATGAATTGTTCCGCCTCAAAATCTTGTACGGCATAAGAATATTCTATTCACAACAACTACATATGCCGAAGGTCAAGCAAGAGAGAAGTCGGAGACTCTTGCATCCTTCTTTGAAATGCTAAAGGCGACTTTCAAAGCGATTGAAGAGCCTCAAGCAGTGCTCAAGTTATGAAATATCATATGCCAGTTGAACTGCGGGTTTTTTAAGGAACTGTTGACTGACCCTGACATCTCTCCATTCTCTCTTTTCACAGAGCTCGGCTGCGATGAGACGAATGAGCGCTGCAAAACACGTTATCAAAAAACAATGATAGGAGTAAACGGCGTGAAAGTCAAAGAAATGAGGGCCAAGAGGGCAAATAAAAAAGTAGCCAACAATGCTTACCATAGAGTACAACAGTCCACATTGGAGTGAACTATTGCTGATGGGCGGGCGTAGAAAGTTGAAGTAGAAGAACAAGCTGATGCAGACGAAAAAGGAGTAGCGGACTTGCAAGAAAACTGTCTCCAGTTCACATTAGAGTACACTAGTTGCCTAACAAAGACACATCGGAGGTGAACGAATGGATACAAATCAGCGAACAAACACGTATGAAGAAATGAAGTGGATTGAGAACAGAGCATAAATTTCGCCTCACAAGCCGATATTGGCACAAGAGGGGTGTTTTTGAGCGGACTCATGGACGAAGATAATGTGGGAGTGTGATGGCGGCGAAAGTGACGAAATCAAGAACGACTAGTCAGGTAAGGAGACCTTCGACGCTGAAACCAGGTGTTTTTGCTCTGATTACCCCGAGCACATCATAAATCTCCGATTCTATCTTCTAATCGACGCCTCTTAAGGTGGTGAACCATAGTGACATCGTCCGATGGACGGCCACTACATAAAAAAGACAGTTTGCGCTAACAGCCACTCAGCTATTTTGTGATCTTCTCATGCATGTGGGAACATGCACGTCCGAAATCCCAGCTGATAGAAAACCACTTTTCTTACGTTGCGCTACCGTTGGAATTAGAACACTACACAAGCGATGAATTGGCATCGATGGAAGTGCTTAATTGTATACGAACTCGATTACTTCCCTCGTTGAGAAATCAAGAGCCTCTCATCGTGATAGACATGATGATGGCGCAATTCAACGAAATGAGTCGTTTTCCTACAGGGATTCTTAGTCGCTACGTGACGATTGAATATTCGACCACAAATAGTGAAAATGACTATAGTGTTCAAGTGTAAAATGTAAAGTGTCACTGAAGTACGGTATTTGCTCTATTCTATATACATTTATATCAATATTATTCTTTTCGAAAACTAAAACGGAAATGCCAGAAGACGCTTGGACGTACTGATGCTTAGTGTGGCTGATGTGACAGGTACGGTGTGGAGATTAAAGACGTACATTTGGTATTTTGGGACATACAAAATTTTGAAAAAGTGGCAGGTTGGCAGGTCAGGCGTGATAGTATGTGCGTTAGATGTGGTCACTGAAAATATTGTGACTTTCATTACTATTCTCCTCATGAGATTGACCCTGCTCTTTGTTTGATAGTTGAGGTGATATCATTCCACACGTTCCACATGCAACTTATACAGATCCTATGAAAAAGCAGTCAGACAACATGAGGGGGCTGAGGCAACAAACTCAGTACATCCCCAATCGTAGAACAAAAAGTTACTAGGGTAGTTTCATCCTGTTTTAAAGGCCTCGGTGCTACATTTTCAGGTATTGATATTCTAAGAAGGTGCTCCAGCCAACGGCAGATGTAGAGATAACAGATGCAAGAAGTGACAGCGGTGGAACAATGTTTCAAGGTTATTTCAGAGGTGAAAAGTACAAAAGTGAACGCAGATGGTTGGTGGTTCCTTGAAAGATGATGCGGTTGATACGCATCTCCAGCTCTTATTAGTTCAACTGGTTGAGAGGAACCTGGTCCGAGTTGCTGTGCTTTCGGAACATTTTGAAAGAAATGATTCCACTGCATATACTACTTTGAAGTTGGAGGGTTTTTATTGTCAAGTAGCACACTGTCACACTCATGATCCTCAGATCGAATCCGGATAGCTAACCACCTGAATTAACTAAGCATAAAATTCATCTAGGAGTGATTAACTTGTATCAAGCTCGTCTGGGATGTCATAAAGCCCTGACTTGTACACCGGTTAGCCTTCACGACTTATTGTATAGGCTCCATGCGTAGTGAGATTTTGGATGGGATCTCAATGCGGTGATCATCTCTCACGAAGGATCGATATTTGCCTGGAAGCTTCATCCTTTCATCTCTTCATTTCTGTGCATTAGGAGCTGAAACATAGTTATTCAACACTATTCCATCCTGTTCTGGGATGCGCTCCGCATTCGGCTCCATTCAGATCCGTAGTGGCGTTTTGTGCATATGTACAATGAAGTTATTTGACCATTCGATGAACATATCAGAGAGGTCATCATCCCGAACGAGTCGGTATCAATTATCCGAGCACAGAGGATGCTTGAATGGCTTGGACGAGTATCAATCTGGACTCGATCTCGGACCAGGTGTGTGGTTTGTCATTGCACTATCCACGCCTTTTTTCAAATCTCGGAAAGTTTACCGAAAAGGTGAATAATGCAATAGTGATTGAGTGATGAGGGACTTCGTGAAGGTTATTTGGTCTTTATTCACCCGCTTTGTTCCACCCGCTCCAGATCCGTGCCTGTGACGTGACAGCCCACCACAACAGCAGTATATATACATTCATAAATACACAGAGTTCAGGTACTCAGATAACTACTAAGCTTGACAAATTCTCAACAAGGGATAGGTAAGGTTTGCCGAGATTCAATGAAAGCTAAAGTGTTGACGTTGAACTGGGACGAGAACGGTGACTTCGTTAACACTGACATCTTCCGCTATTCTGTAGCGATACATACGATAACTTATTTTTTGTCAGGTCCCATTAGTTTCAAGACTTCAATACTTCACTTTCTTCACCTTCACATCTTTACTGTGAGTGTACACCATTAGCACTATCCGATTTGGAACCTTAGCAATTCAACAGTCGTAAAATTCAATTAGCTCGCAACACAACAGTGCAATAAACCTTACGCACAGGCTGTAAAAGTCAGTATTCCAACACTACTTCCACGATTGAGGCGGCAGACCGATGTGATAGATCGATGGGGGGTTTAATTATTGTAGTCATCAAGTGGCGCAATATCTTTGCTTAAAGGCACAGTTTGCGAAAAAATTGCTTCTGAAATTCCCCCATAGGATGAATTCGAGGCACCTCCTGATACAATATGTGCCGATGTCAGGTCGAAAAACGCCCTGGATAGGGCACAATAAGAGCCAGACATTGTATCGTGCAAATGCTACCTCCACAGCGGACAAGTCTCGACGGTGTTGTAGAGACTGCACTACCTCAAGAGTCTCCCATGTTGGAAGTTCAAACAACTTGTCATGACTCATGGCGACGGTGAAAGGCAGTATTAGACATGTAGTCAGCTCTGAGCGCAACTGTAACAAATGGAATCTCGTCTGAATACCCCTTTCATGTCATCTCCGCCATGGTAATCTCGGACAAACTTTATTTCCCCCACTTTTGAAAAGCCTATTTTCTCGCAAAGTATTGGGACTCTCTCGCTTTCTTCTTCGCTTCTCGCTCGGTGCACTATTCTACATCAACGCTTCCTCTTTCCAACTCAAAATGGGTACCTCAAAATTATAGTGAACTGGGCCTTTAAAGAACTGCTTTCCACTATCGCAATAGGTCAGGGCTTAGACGATTTGCCCATCAAACTTTTAACATATGTGCTCCATAGTAAATGCAACCTCTATATATCTATAAGAATACGAATGTTTCCTGGTGCGCCGCCGACTGAGCCAGATTTTGAGCATTCATTCTAATAATTTGGGCTCTTTTTGACTGGTAGTACCCCTTGTTGCATGGGGTGCATCCCTTGACTTACGCAAAACTTTATCCTCTCTTTAATTCCGACGGTCACCGTTGCACAGCCAGCCGAATTTTAACAATTTTTCTCCAAAATGGGCGAATTTAGACGTGTCAGTCTTGAATGGTTTTCAGACTGAAAAATAGCAAGCATGACTTAATCCCTGGTGTCAGTGAATGAAATGACTATACCTTAAAAATAGAACTTTCCCATAGTTTGCGAATGGTATGCCTGAGTTCGAGAGGCAATTTTACGGTCCAAATCCCGGTTTTGATTGCCCAATTTGACATAGAACACACGTTTTTTTGTTCTCGTGTTTGCAGCAAAAACCTTATAGCATTGATTATTTGCACCACTTCCAAGCTCATCCCTGAAAACGGCTGCATTTGAATGTGTAGGTTACAAAACGGTTTATGACTGCGGCACCATTAGTAGGTAGGCTATTGCCGAGGTGGAGTAACTCCTTCGGATTACTGTAGGAGCCGCTAAGATCAGGGGACATTATCTGCTCACAGCAATGTACAAGGTAAAAATGATATAGATTCAATAGAAATGGAGCACAGCTTTATAAAATCAATTTTGAAAGTATGATTCAACCCCAGTAGAAGCGAAGCATCTTCTTCTGCAAAATGGTCTGTTTATGTTAGTCTATTGGGAACACGGTGAGGTGGTGTAGTGACAAGCGGCGCACTATACCGCATGCACGGTCACGGGTTTAAGTCCTCGATCGATATCCGCCTAGGCCAACTAAGCCTTCCATCTCTCCGGGTTCGGTTAATTGATACCAGACTCATCTGGGGTATAAAAGCACTGACGTGTACAACGGCTGGCGACCGCACGTCATTGTATAGCCCACATACGCATTCATTACGCTGCTACAATACTGCTACTAATTCTTGGTCAACCGACGGTTCGTGATGGATTGTTCCGTCGCAAACGTCGCTTCGCCATAACTTTTGTTAAAGTTCTCCAATCAACTTCAAGGTAGGATCAGTTGAAAGCTCTACTCGTGAAAAATTCTGACATATATTAAATTTCCGATTTTTTTTTTGAATTTTTTTGCCTCCATTTCTAGGAAGAATGGAAATTGAGTCTCACATTTTCTGGGGTGTTATTTGCAGATATAACAGCATCACAAACATTTCGCTTCGGTTGGAAACTTCGTTTTCATTGTTTAAATCATGTACGACACTATATCCAGGCAAGTATGAAAAGATGATCATTTTGATATCTCTAACGGCTAAATTCAAACAAATTCAGCTGACAACAGTGGATCAAATTACAAAAGTTTCGGGAATTCCCGACTTTTCCCAGCAATATACGTATTTGCGTGTTAGACCAAAGATGAATTCTAGTCACGGGGATTCCAGATATATTCCAGATTCCAAATGAATTTTTTTGGGCTTTCTGAATTTTCACCTACTTTAATTTATCGATTTTCCAAAGCTAAATAGCTGGATCTTTCCAGCCGTCCATTTCACAGGAACCGAGTAATTCTGTACTTATTCGAAGGCTTGACTCATATGTTATAAGAAATGCATGCAAAACTATGTCGTATTAGGTGATCGACAGGGTTTTTTATTACATATTTCTCACTAAGTTTCAACTGGTGCACATTTTACGATTGCGTTTAGTGCTCTCCAGTTATGATATAGACTGAAAAGGGTAACGGTGGAAAAGTCGGCGTGTTATGTTTTCGTGCTATTATTGCAGTGAGTTTTATAATTATAAGGTCACCCTCGAATTTTGCACTTTTAAAAAAAGCAACCATTAAGGATTTTTCTAGCATCATGAACAAATTCCCCAGCACGAGAAACCTAGGTTTCCATTTTTTAGCCGCAGCTGCATTTTTCTGAACTTTTTTAGAACAGTTTATCGGTTTTTGCACCGTTTCATAATTATAAGGTCACCCTGAGAAAGTGAACAATTATTCATGGAGGAGAGGAAATTTCGTGTTTGAAGATACTTATAAAGGTAATCATGTGTAGCAAATGCGTTTCTAAACCTAGCTGTCAACATGGCTCGTGGTTGTCTGCTTTCCTCAGATGAGAAGGCTCATCATGAAGCTGTGCTCAGTACTCGGGCCATCTCCAGGCAAATAGAGAGATCCTCCTGGTCCATTCAAAGATTTCTGGAAAGCCCTGATGCCCCAAGATATAACCAAAGAGAGACATGATCAAGAACCATTTGCACAAGCCCCTGGTTGTTTTTTGATCTTGTTCTTCTTCGTTTTCAGCCCTTCGACCGACCGTCTGCCTCCCTCCTCCCCCCTAGCACTGCCTCGGCTGGTACGCCGGCGGACTATGAAAGCAGCCACTGGCATATGTATGTACGGGACCCTGCCATTGGATGAGTTGTTGTCGAGCCATTACGCTTTGACAGTGGAATGCACATCTCATCATCGAGTAAGAAGTTGAGGTGTCATGTTGAGATGAAAAGTTGAGTTGATGTTGGTACTGAAATCGGTTCTCTAATGTCGAGAAAGTTAGTCAACCATTTTCGATTGGAAACGGTTAAAACCCTCGCTTGGGTCGCATGGGGGAATAAAGGGTGCAGTGCGAATAAAAGGGTTTCAGACACCGGTACTATTCTACTATTACACCCCCAGAACTATTCTACTGATACACCCCCAAAAACTCAAAATTTTAATTTTCGATGAAACTTCGCTCATAAGGGTAATCCGATGCCCTGATAACGAATATGACCTTCATTTTTGGTGCTATCGCCATTTGGCGCCAATTTGGCGCCAAGGGTGTTTTCACCAAATTTGCTGAAAACTTGCGGTTAGGGGTTATTTGGGGTCGTGATAACGAATATAACATTCATTTTTGGCGCTGACGCCATTTGGCTCCAATTGGCGCCAATTTGGCGCCAAATTGGTGCCAATTGGAGCCAAATGGCGCCGACGCCAAAAATGAAGGCCATATTCGTTATCAGGGCATCGGA